ACTGAGTACATATGCATGCTTATACTTTTCAGGTCCGATATTGTTCTATGTACAATCCTTGTTTTATTGATTCCATGTAATATTCAAATTTTCTGAGATTGTGGTTTGGGGTTTTCATGAGCTCTAAGCCATAATCTTCAAATTATGACAAATCACGGCTTGAACTATCTTGGTTTGCATGGAATGAGTCTTATCTCATATATTAGTTTCACCTTTTAAGTTGCATTACTGAAATAAATGAACTATTGCACAATATTCTAATTTTTCGAGTTTCACCTGTATATACTTATGAAAAAGCTACATCTCCATAGCATTAAATAGAGTTTATGGCTTTACAAATACTTTGGATATGGTGTATAGTGATGCACATGCAACCTCTGAGCCATATAGTGGTCTACAAGATGATCAAAGTAGTATTACTGTGTTGCACTACAAGGTTTCTGATGTGCAGTGTCACGAAAGTACCTAGGCTTGTGCTATGATGAGGGTGATTATTTTTTTCTTCCCCCAGTTTCTGTCCCCACCCCTACCCCACAACAATGGAGACAACTGAATGCACATTACCTGTAGGTTGATGCTTGTACATCCTCATCCATATTCTGGGAAGGACTGCTTAACTCTAGGGAGTGAGTACTTCCTATAAATGAAATGCTAAATATTTTAGGATTATAAATATCACTGCATTTGTGTACATATGTCTAAAAATGCATAGAAACAAATCTCAGAAACAAATCTCAGAATTATACCAACATTGTTTCTTTTCATGCTCACTAAAAGAACATAAACAGTCCAAAATATATAAATTTTCACAACTGTTGTAATTACACTTAAATTGTAATCTTTTAATTAAAAATGTGTATTGATGGGTAGAGTAGGGATATTCAAGGATTAATGGGAAAATATCTATTTTGGCATGCCTTTGAACATTTTTAAAAAGTCACAATGCAATGAATGCAAAATTAATTTCATAAATGATAGGGGCTTCTTGAAAGGGAATGATTATTAAAGACCAGAAATGTAATATATCAGTTTTATATTTTTTTTAAAAAAATAATTCAGTAAATGGACCCCAAAGTTCAGAAAAATATACGTTGTCATAGCAGAATTTTGTTTGATACATTTCACATGTCAGGATTTTGACAACATTTGCATTCCAGAGATCTCTGAGTTTTTATGAAATATTATTGGCAGGTAACTAAACCTACCAAACCGATATTGAACTTTAATTGGTCTTCCATATAAACGAATCCCATTCAGCAAAGCCATAGCATAAGGCACTGACTCTGTGTGTTTAAAGCAGACAAATCCAAAACTCTTGGGGTTTCCATCTTTGTCCTTGCATATGGTGACTTTGGATACCGGTCCAGCCTGCAAGAAACTTAAATTTTATTTTCTTATCATTCTGTTATATGAAACAAAATTGTTACTTACTCATTCAAAATCTTGATGGACCCTATTCTATCAATGTATCCATTTTTCTTTTGTGCAGAGAGGCAGTGCATTGTAACTTTCCTTGTATGTTCACAGCTTACTTACATATGTCTTGTTTTATTCTGTTATGGACATAATTTACATGGACCTGATGAAGTATCAAAGCAGTTAAAGTAGAAAGTTTCAACATTATGATAATCTTGTAAATTTAGGTTCCGTAGACAAATAGTCTAATAAAAACTACTATTTTCATAATCTAATTAGCATATTACCCTCAGATACTAAGGCTGTATCTAATCCGTAGAATGAGAATCATTTCTCATTGTCCAGTACAATGAGAAATGATGGCAACAAGCATTGTGGAGAGAACAACTGACAATTAGTGTTGGTGCATATAGAGCTGAGAAAGATTTGATCATTATTTTTCTATTGCTAAAAATATTTCCAATGACTCATTCTTATAAGCAAATGCTTATGAGAGTATTTACTACTATACCCAGTCATGTCTTTTGTGGTATTCACCAGTCTGTTCTTAGGAAATTCTTAGGAAGTTGCAGAAACAGTTGAAAACATGTAAACTGGCACGATGTATGAAGAAAGAAAAAGAAAACAGGAGCATTTAACTGGAATCAGTTGTACACCTATAGAATATATTATTCCTTCTTTGTTGTTGTTGTTGAACTAAATTTTCCTTTTTCTTGGAAACTTAAATTTAACAGTAGGTAAATCTTATGGACATTGGAGTACATTAAGTAAAACTTGTTAAAGTTTATAGAGAAGCTAAAATAGTAGCTTCTGAGCTGTCAAAAGCTAAAGGCATATTAAGTGCCTACTTTGTGAAATTAATTCCAAATCTGATTCTCACTAATATTACAATGAAAGTAGAAATAGTTTGTGACTGGAAAAAGAGAAATATCATTTTATAGTAATCACTGCTGACAAAATACTCAATCTTTATGCTCAGTGTTACAGCTATATATATATTTCATATTTTATATGCAGAAAGAAAAAAATAAAACATTGCAAGAATGTTCAACTTTAATGTTCAACTGTAAATAAAGGGACACAATTATGAATATTTCAAATTAAATGAGGCTTATCTATCCAAATATTGCATGTTATTTAATCACAGAGATAAATATTCAATTATTTTCAGCCAAAGTTAAATGATTGCCTTTAGGCACTATCAACGGCTTGTTTTTGTTGTTGTTAATTGTGAAGTCGTGTCCGACCCATCACAATTTCTTTACCTTCACCTAAATGTATTTATCTTTCAATTATGTACTTTTGAAAATCGATGTTATTTTAAAAAACTTAGCTACTGCTAAAGAGATAATTCAGATTTAGACCAGATAATAGAAACCTAATATTTTCCAATTAACATTATTTTAAATTATTCAAAATTATTCACCAGAACAAGTATTTATTAATAAGTAGAATTGAGCGTGCTACATCATCTGGGAAATAAATATAAATGCATATCAACAAATATAAATTTCACTAGTTTAGCTAATACCACATGTAAAATAAATAGGATATGATAAATCAATAAAGATGAGGATAATTCAGTCTCTTTAATATTTCCAGTAGAAAGTACTTACTCCAGTAAAAGGTCAAAATCCCATTTGTACTCATTTGAGTTTCTGGAGAAGAATAACAACTTATAGTTCATTTTTAATTCCATTATCTTAAGATCTAATTGTTAAAACATTCAAAAAAGGTATTGGCTTCAATTTTATTTATTTTTATAAATAACTGAAGATGGCGAACATACATTCCTTCCTCCTCCTATTTTTCCCACAAATGCTCTGTGAGGTAAGCTGGGCTGGAAGAGAGTGTCTGGTTCCAAATAACTCAGACTACTTTCATGATAAAAGTGGGCTAGAACTCAGTATCCTGGTTTCTGATCTGCTGTCTAAGCCACTAGACCAGGGGTGTCAAACTGGCAGCCTGTGGAACGGATGTGTCACATACAAGCCACGGCCACCCCAACTCTATGAAGGGGGAAAAGTCACAAAACGGCATATGATGACAACATTACGCCATGAGTTTGACACCAGTGCACTAGACTAACTGGCTCTCAGGATTTGTTGACTAAGGTTAGATTTGATCCACACATGCAGAACATAATAGATTAGCAGTCTATTGCCTTAACCTCTTGGCCAGGTTATTATTTTCTTAAATTATGAAGTTATTACAGCAAGGTTCATCTCAGTGTTATTTAGATCTATAGATTCTACATTTGAGGTCTATTAATTTCTTAAATTTGATTTATTTGTTTTTAAAAAATAATATTTTTCACACAATCAACATTTCCAAGCAAAGTTCAGCTTGTTTAATCCCCACTTTTAGGAGAGAGAATTTTTTAAAGAAAAAAAACCACATTTCCACTCTTCTACTTTGGATTGCCTATTGAAGATGATGAACTTCTTCAAAGGTAGGAAGTAGACAATCAAACATTCTGAGGCTTTTTCTTTTAAACATGTAGATTCCTCCTGTTTATAAAAAAATAAATAAAAAACCTGCTGAAGCAACCTACTCACACAGGTAGGGTTTTAAAATACAAATAACCCATTTTAAAATTATTTTTCTTCACCCAAAAATAAAATATAAAAAGTGTATGGGCCGAATAAGTCAAGAATTAAATATTTAAATTGTCAGAAAAAACTATATGGAAAAATGAACACTTTTTATAGTATACCTATTTAAGAAACTGTTTATCAAATTAAATTGCAGAAATAAATTTTAAATTATGTTCAAGTCTGATTAATATACCCAAATCAATTTCAATGTATCACTTACAAAGGAATTGAACTCACAACTCCAAAGCTCAGTATTTTTTATTTGCCCTTTACTACTGAAGTTCTTAATATTTTTATATTTATAAGAAAGTAGCCAAACCAAATAAGAAAGGACAGCAGAGGCCATTACATGCTTAAGATATCTTTCTGGTAACAGCCCAGAGACTAACACAGAAGACAATTACAGGAACTCAAATAAAATTCAAAAAGCTAAACAGAGATAGTTACAAAAAGTAATATCCTCCCCTTCATTTAATTCTGAATATATTGTTAAGGATGGGATAATTTACAGGGAATAAATTATGAGTAACTATGAGGCTTATAAATGTATATTCCTCCTAACAGGCAAGAGTAAAGGCTGGAGAGCTTATCAGATTAACTGATAATAATAAAAAAGGTCAGGTCCTTTCAGTTTTACTTGATTTTCCAAACAATTTTGTTGCTAGGAATTACCTGACATTCTGTATTCTGTAAGATTAACTTCTATGTCGTGTGCATTAATTTCTATCTCTTACATAACTTGTCTTAATTATAAGTCATCATAAATATTTAACATAGAATGGGTAGATAAAATAAACCTTGAAGCAATTTAAAGTTTTTTTTCCAGTACTGTATTTCAGAAATGGAGCATAAAATAAATATAGATTTCACTTGCGCGGCGACCCCGTCAACTACTGCAGAAGACATGCCTCGGTATCTTCTGACAACATTCAGCTGCAGTAAAAACAGAGCCCTGTGACACCTTCAAGCTTACTAACTTACAGTGACGGGCGGTTTTGTGGAATTGTTTATGTCGTACATTTTTTTTTTAAAGTATTTTGCTATTAAATTAAACGGGGGGGGGGTCGTGAGACGGCATCTTTCCGCCCCAACATCCCCGTCGCATGGGCGGTGAAATTCCATCTCTCCTTGACACCACCGCGTACAGGACTCGCAACACGAACACGTGCTTCCCGGCCTCGGCTACATCGCTAGCCACGCCCACCTCCCACCTAACACGCCCACCTCCCACATGGACCCGCCTCACCCGCTCTTGCACCTGCAAGAAAAGCTCATAGAGAATCTCCTCCTTCACGCGATTCTCCAAATTGCCCACGAAAAGGGTCCGGTCGGGCTCGTCTGTCCTATTCTGGGTTGTCATGATGGTGAAGACGACGAACCTCGGCAGTCGAGAGTTCTGGCTTAGGAACGGGAAGCCGGCGAAAGGGGCGGGGCCTCGGCGAGAGCGCACCCGAGGCCGTAAAGCAGAAGGGCCGCGCGACTGTGCGGTAAAAAGCTTTCTGGGCTGCTGCTACGCTTTGCGGCACTTGCAGGCGCGATGCTTCTTATCTGAGGGAGGGCGGAAGAGTAGTGATTAAAACTACTTTCTCCGATGTTAAGAACCAAATTTGTGTGTGTATCTTTCTCACATGTAAAGGGCAAAGTTACACCCCCCACACACACACGAATTGCTATAAAGGCCGACATCCTGCTGCACGAACTTCCTATTCTTCGATATCCTAGCAACTCTTAACTCAGTGGCATAGATTTCTGAATTTGGATGGGTGGGTGGGCGGAAATGGAGAGTGGTCCTTTCCCAAACATGGGCTGCCATCATGTGGCAAATCTTAATAACGCAGTGAATCTACTGTCCACGTTTGATCTTTATTTTGAACAATTCAAGGCAGCTACATAATGTTCCCACATCTTTTTCCCATAAAATAACTGAAATTGAATTCTCTGATGTTGTTATTTATTAGTGAGATTTATATGTATATATACTTGGACAAGACTTTTACGAGAAATTTACTCTTTGTGTTTTAGATTAGTTTCTCCACTGTTTTTTGGTGTAATATGATGTTACATTGTTGCTAGATATTTATTCTGCCTTTTTATGTATAACTCAAGGTAGCCAATATAACCAAAACTCTGCTTCCTATTTTCCACACAACTCTGCAAGATGGTTTGGGTAGAGAAGGTGTGACTGGCCTTAACATTTTCTGAAGCATAGGCAGATCTATTTATTCTAGCACTATGTTACAGTATAGGTCGTTCTTGAATCATGATCATTTGTTTACCTGTATTTCAAAGTTAAGACAGCCTTAGACATATTTATGACTAGTTGCAGCATCCTGTTGTCACATAACCACAAAAATACCTATTGGGGAAGCTAAATTCACATAACCATATGGTTTGCTTAACAACTGTGGTGACTACTATAAAAATTATTATAAAATTTGATCCAACTTATCTCATGTGCAACAAGTTAACAGAGATTCCAGTCCCAATTGTGGTTGCAAGTCAAGGACTACGTGTATTGGACTTTATTTTACATATGTAACCTATCATCACAATAGTATATACTCAAACATACCAAATGAAAGCCAATTTGGTGTAATCATTAAGGCATTAGGTTAGAAACCCAGAGAGAAATGAATTTTAGTCCCACCTTAAGCACAAAGCTTGGGCTAACCTTGGACTATTCACTTTATCTCAGCCCTAGGAAGGAGACAATAGCAAATGACTTCTGAAAACCTTGCAAACAAGTAAACAAATAAATAGAACTGCAAAGTTTTGTTCAGGCAATCTCTAGGAATCAGACATAATTGAATTGAAGAAAAAAAATTCAAGTAACTACAGGTAGTCCTCTACTTACAACAGTTCATTTAGTGACCGCTTGAAGTTTGAGAAAAGTGATTTATGACCATTTTTTAACACTTATGACGGTTGCAGCATCTCCATGGTCATGTGATTAGAATTGAGCCACTTGGCAATTGACTCACATTTATGATGGTTACAGTATCCCCAGAATCATGTGATCTCCTTTTGCGACCTTCTGACAAGCAAAGTGAATGGGGAAACCAGATTCACTTAACAACAGTGTTACTAATTTAAGAACAGCAGTTATTCACTTAACAAATATGTTAAGAAAAGTTGTGAAAGGGAGCAAAACTCACTTAACAAATTTCTCACTTAGCAACATAAATTTTGTGCTCAATTGTGGTCATAAATTGAGGACTATCTGTAATACCTTCTTTAAATGACAAAATACAGTAATGGATTATAGAATAGCCTTTTGCTATCAAATAAGTTATCTGAGTACACTGCATTCAAATTGCATTCAGATGTCATTGAAAATATAGACAATTTGTAAGAGCTGCTGTTGGAACAGTATCTATTTTGCAACCAATGGAGACCCTCCTATTACTGAAATTTAAAGCAGAGTTTTCATTTTGAAACATTAAACAAAAGTCTGTATTCTGTGTGTGTATTCCAAAAGTGCCTTCCAAATTAGATTCTCGTATTAACTTGTTTTTCCTTTTACAATCAAATCCAGGCAAATATTTGGTTTTTCTGCCCTTGATGAAATAAATTTATTAAGACATTTTAGGGTGCCATTCACAAAAAAATGCACAATGGTGAGCCATCAGAAGTATCTGCTGCAGTTCCTTTGAAGTTTTTTAATTAGAAAACAACTTCTCACTTTTGTTTATGACCAATTACTGAAAAAGGGCAGGTACTGTATTTTTCAGAGTATAAGATTTGTAATTTGTAAGTTTATTTATAGGCCGCCCTTTTCCCTGAGGGGACTCAGGGCGGCTTACAACTTGTGGGGAAGGGAATACAGACA